TCCTAGTCTAGTGAAAAATCTAGGAGCCTTCCTCATTTTAGAGGCATTAAATTAAATAAGAAAGGGATATCACTTTTAAAAACAATGATTATCATTAAACATTTGTAATGTAATACAGCTTATGTATCTCAAGCAGCTTAGTGGACTGCAATATTGAGCTCCGTTCAAAGAAAAGTGACTGTATAGAACCTGAAAGATTGCAACTTTGAGGCCAATGAGTGTTTTTAATCGTATACCACTGAAAAAAAGCTGTCAAAAAGATCATGTAAAATAGCAAACAGAAGACAATGTAGACTTCTTCCTCTTTAACAGGTCTTCCAAATATTTCCTCTATGTAAGTAGCATCTTCACAGCTTAAACTGATCTGATCTAATTTCCCAATGAATTTATTTCTACTGGGTATAAAATCACTTCACCCCAATCCTGAAGGTTGATTTTGCCTTTTTCCATATCACATGAAGCAAGATAAAGAACAAGACCACAGGGATTTGCTTACCTCTGGTATCCTGCAAAAGGCACCCCCTACCAAACATGAAAGGCATGTAAGTGCTGGGAAAGGTCTGGCTGAGCTTTTGCCGCCCCAGAGCACAGCATGATCAGTTGCTCTGTAGAGATGGCACATACACTGCGTCCGGTTGCATGAAGCAGCTCTGCGGAGAGGGAGCATACTTTTTAGCACAAATTGATTCTTCCATCAGCATATAACACTGCATGTGCTTTTTTCCTGAATTTTGCAAACAGAGTCATCAAATACAAACCATGAGGCCACTTCAATATCAGTTACAAACCAATAAAAAGGCAAACATTAGAACACCCATTTGCCTCTTCTTCCATTAACTTATGGATCTTGAAAAAAATATCCTTTTGAGATATAATTACAACAAAAATTAGAAAAGCGTAACACCAGCAATAATTACCTGAATAGTTTGAGAAGCCAACTAATGCATTAGCCATGTAAAATTGGCAGACTGGATAACAGTTCCTGCAAAGTTAACTTTCTAAGCATAGTTATGACTTAAAACGGCTATCAAAAAAAAAAAAGTATGCTATAAAGGCAGACTGCTCCATTTAATCATGAAACCTGAAGAGCATGCATGTAAAACAGCAATGGCACCTTTCCACACTGCCTTGCTGATTATTTATCAAATCCTGCTTACTCAACCGCTTTTTACAGAAAAATTGAATATCGTGTCCTCCAAAAAAAAAAATCACCAATTTTACATCTCCGACCGAGGGAAAAAAGTTATCTGAATATCAGCTTTGACCTGGTACAACTCTTTTTGTATCTAACTGTAAGACTGAGGCACAGTGTAAGTTCTTGACATTATTTCCAGAAGCAGTACTTTTCTGTCAAGGCTAACATAGGTATTAAAACCAAACAACCTGTCTCTCTTGACAGACCTGCTATGCTAGAAGAGCACAGCAACAGCGCACAGCTAAGCTGCCCAACATTTGACATACTCTTGCTCAGCAGACTACAGATTTTGCCACTCATCTGATAAAAGCTCGCGCTGCGTCATCTCGAGAGGTCTTTTACTGTTGACCGTTAGCAAAACGGAAAGTGTACGCAGCTCACAGAAAAATAACAAGGCACAGACGCCTAGAGGGGGTGAGACCCCAACCTTCGCCACCAAACAGGCAAGGCTGGAAACGCACGCGGTTTCTGGTTTCTCCGTGGACTGCGGGTTCCTTAAGCGCTGGCCCGAAGCCTCGGCGGCAGCACCCACGCGGGAGGAGGAGGAGGAGGAGCGGGTGGAAGCGCTGCGCCCGTGACAGGCAGGCCCCCTCCCCACGCAGAGCGGGGCTTTCAGCGCCAAGAGAAAACACCGCCGCGGCTGAGCCCCTCCTCTCTCAGGCAGCTCAGCCTGAGCTGGCGCCC